TTCGAATAATTTATTTTGTCAAATTTTTGTTTTTGCACACATTTTTGTTCATAACTTTACAATTAGACTACATAGACAAATATTGCCAAAGACAAAAATAAAGAGAAAACATTGACAAATTAAAATTATCTTTGAAGCAATGTGATCCGATGTACCGTTAACGTTCTACAGGCATTCAAATGTTGCCCGTCTAGAGGCGGTTGTATGCATTAGAGGGTTAAGTTAGTTCCATAATAAGTATGCACTGAAAAGAGTTGAACTAATTTGTCATGCATTAATTTGACAAGCTTGAAAATATTAATATGACCAATGGCCTTATCGATGAATGAGATTGAAAGCAGAGTGTGTTTTTTTATTAAACATTCCGGAAGAGTGAGTAAGTTTTTCGATGATTCGGTTTGCGCGAAAGTAGAGTATGTTTATCGTTCACAATAATTGAGGAAATTGAGGTCTTTTTATCATTGCGTTTTGGACACAACAAAGAAACAGTTTTATTTTTATATGAAAAGAAAAGTTCCGCAGCAAACGTACGATTGAAAATGTCTGAAATTGAATGATTGATCCGAATAGCCCACCTATTCTCTATTGATTTGCTACAGTCATTTGTACACTTGATAATTTTGATAACACGTGGGTATAAAATATCGAGCGTTCACATAACACAGAGTTTGTGTTAAAAAGTCTAGAAAGACATCCATTCATTTTCGAAACATTGTGCTTGATTTGACAATATGGATTTCAGGATATATGTTTTGTTTTTGGCCCTATTTTCATTCGGAAGCTCATCAACTGTGAGGGATCCACGAGAAAAGGTGGAATTAACTATTTTGGGGGGAAAAAGTAATCAACATGGAAAATGAACGATACATTTAACGATACACACTTTAATATTTATTTTACTTTCAATTTTATAGAATTGCCATTTATTGAGCCACGCATATGCTGGGACTGGGTCTGTAGTCCTGCATGCGAAGTACTCGGATGTAAAAAAGGCTTTTGCGAAAATGATAAATGCTGGTGTGTAGTGAATAAGCCGAAATGTAAACGCCAAAATATGTAAAATCGACCCGGCGCACACCTGTATACGAATGCGTACGCAGAAGTGTGCGCCAGGCGATTAACCAACGCCTGATAAGCCGCACGGTAACGTATGTCTTACGTAACGAGAACGGCTTGGCAAATCATTGTATTATCAAATTAAATAAAATCATATCAGTCTTTATTCTACCACACATCAAGCATTACCTTTATTACTCCCTAAATTGGCACTGCTTAACAGTTTTGTACACCTTAACACTCTGATATTTTGTTTGGAAAAAATCAAATCCAAAAGCACAACGATAAAGTGTGATAGTGTGATAGTGTGATATTTTTTTTCGGTAGTGAAAGAAAAAGATAGAAGAAAAGACTCAAATTATTACGCACAAGCCAACACATAAGAAAGGCGAATAAATTGTGAAAGAAACTTTTTGTAACCAGTAAAATTTAGCGAAAAGTCGCGAAGCAACGGTGCAAAAGTTTTCGAAAGTAATAAAAAAAAAACTCAGCGAAAAGTCGCGAAGCAACAGTGAGAAAGTCTTGCATTATAATTCGGCGAAAAGCCACGAATTAACGGCGCAAAGTACCAGAGACAGAAAAGTGTGATCCACGACGTAAATTGAGTTTCCTGCATGCGTACAGTAAAAATCTTGCGGTGGACGAAGGTGATGGGAAAAAGCAAGTTTTGGGGAAAGCTGGTGGACGGAGCTCTAGTGGGGATCACGGGATACGAAGT